TTAATAATGGGAAATTTTTTATTCGGGCAATAGCCTATTAACAGAACAGCAAGCCTGCGCTGGTAGATACTAATTAAAAGATTCCGAATTTACACATTGGAAGAAACAACCAAAATCATTACAGTCATTTCCAACTTTCAATCGTGCATTTAATGTACCCAAGACAGCGCCCGCATTTCCTCCTAACAACAGCGAGACTGAAACGTTGTCTAAGGAAGGCAGTGGATCGAGATTCGCCGGTTAAATCGCGGATTTTCCTACCGACGAAGCGTATCATCTCAGCAAAGGCAGGCCCAAAAGTTCCAAATGTTTCTACTGCGAGAGGGTAGAACATGTATCCCATATCCTCTACAAAGCCGTACTTCCGCCGCTTAAAGTCTTCTGCTAGCTGGGCCACGCAGCCTGACTTCTTTCGAGCTGGCTTTCACGTGCGACATAGCCACGGTGTCCCAACAGGTAGCATCCGAGACTACCGCTTTTCCATCACGCACGGGTATCAGCGTCATGCCGTCCGGGCGCTGATTAGTCTTGTCTGACAATCCGGATGGCTCCATCTGGCAAGGAAAGCCCGCGGTTTCCGTTTCGTTTCGCTATTCAGCTCGAGATGCCGAGACCATCGTCCTTTGCTGCTTGAACATGACAGCCCATGGTGGCCATTAGTTTCACGACTGGCACAATTCACACAGTTGTGCTCCTCAACAACATGAAGGCCGAACCGTAGTGCGACGCCGATTCTAACTTCATCGTCACGTAAGAATGTATGGAGACTTGGTGCAGGGAGAGCATTAAGCCAAGCGCCAGAGTCCCGGTTTAAGGCAGCCAGCAGCACTGCTTTATCCGTTTCGGTGGTTGCGGCTAGTCGCAGTGTTGATACCACGTGATCGATCGCCGGACGATCCCATGCGGTCTGAAACTTCCTGGCGTTGTCAGTCGGAGGCTCACTTCTGGTCTGCGTCGCCCACTGCTGCACGGCAGATGCTAGATGCGCTTCATTCGTTGACGGGTAGATGGAGGACACCAGGCTGGCCACTGAATACGCCGATGCCAGGAAGGCAGGTAAAACTAGCGATTTAGTGGCGCGAAGTCCTAATCCACCGTCTCTCACCGGAAGCGTCATTTGACTCCACTGCATATCGTTCACCCGGATATTCAAAATGGATGACAAGCCAGCGCGCATACACTTATCCATCGTTTCCATTAAGGGCATATGTTCATAACATCTCGCTGTGCGAAATCCATACAGCAGTTTTGGTATGAACAGGCAATTTTTGAGTAGATATAGGCTAAAATGAGCTGGGATATTCTTCAGCCGGCGCAGGAAATGATCCAGCTGTACGGTTTTACTCTGTAAGAATATTTCGCATGCTGCCGACGTTAAAGGCGCGCCCAACAACACTAGGTCTTCTTCCTTCGCGACTACCATTCCAGGAAATGTGTCAAGAACTTTCCGTATGGCGTGCAAGCGATCCGCAGTAAAACTTCCTACGCTGTAGATTTCACATTTTCCCAGATTGAGCTCTAACCCCATTTTGAAACCGCGGGCAATAATAGTGCGTACTGCCGCGATAACTTTATCCGCCTGGCCGGCCAGAGTGACATCATCCAGAAAGCCCACCGCAATGTCGCAGTCTAGGTTTTCAAACAGGGGCAGTGAACCAAGTCCATAACCGAGTGGCCCGTATGGATCTCCTTGTTGTACGCCGGTCTCAGAGGACAACTGAGACGAACCGCAAGACAAATGGGAAGGATAACGGTACGACTGCCAGATGTACCGATAGCAGGCGGGAAATCTCGCGAGTACAGTAGTGAGTAGGACATCCCGGCGGAGTGTGGTGAACGCATTGCAAAAGTCCAGCTTCACGACCACTCGGGCTTCAGTGTGTGTCGTTTCCACGTAGGTGCGCACAGCATGCACAGCCGCCTCAGCTCCTCCTCGTATCCCAAAACCGAGCTGCACGGGGTTGAACATTGCAGCTGCTTCGTCAGCGCAGCGACTGCTGATGAGTTTTTGAAATTAAACGGCGCAATGTTTCCCCCACAGCGATCGCCCGTATCCCGCCGTCTTTCTTGAGTAACGGGATTAAATTGGCGCCAAAAACGTATGGCCGCACATCTTCCGGAATATTCTTTCTTAACACCATTGTAGCCAGATCGGTTAGGGCTAAGCACAGCTCGCTCTGCGTGTCGTCCTTGCGTACGAGAAGGTCCTTCAGGTGCTGAGGGCGTAGACCGAAAACACCTCCAGCGGAACCGGATGGGAAGCTGAAAACTGTAGCCATCATCTCGACTGGAGTGACTGCTGGCGGTGTTATACTGTCATCTGGATCCGCAGGGAACTGGCAGTCATCGGGTGCGGGGGGATGCTTATCGCGCAACAGTTCAATTGTGCGAGCATTTATTTCAGCTAGCTTGTCATCGCCCAACACAACTCTGATTGCCCCCTTTATGTTTCCGTCCTGAAGCATGGAAGTAACTTGGGCGCGTAACCTGTCGGGGGGTAGCTCATCGTGTTTGGGCAGATCACGGCGGGGAACGGGTTGGCGCTTCGCTAGTGACGGATCGGCAAGGTTTTTCCGGATATGGGCGGCGAGAGACTCTCTACGTAAACTTTTCGTCGGAGGGAGCGACAGGGCCGTTGGTGCGAACAGCAACAAATCAATCCAGCTCTCCGATGAATTGTCGCGGGTGCATTTTCTAATGAGTTCCGTCAACACCCGGGCACACTGTCGTCGCACAGCTTTCGGGACTCTTTTCGGGATGTGGTAACGATCGCCCTCCACAAATGACTGCAGCGGGTGTTTTCGAGGTTGTCCTGGTGGAGGCGGTGGAAGCTGAGCAGAGGAGAAACCCGCGGCATGTTTGCGGGAACATGCTTTGGTGTGAGCAGCGAATCCAGCTCCCTGTGTGAAACACACTCGGCAATGTGGGCAAGGCTGATCGCGGACCATACTACGTGCACGACAGGAAAAAGACCCACCTAATGCGTCCTCGAGAAGGCAAGATTCCCAAGAAGATTAGGTCGCCGCGAGCAGCTCCCCGTTCCGTGACACTTTCCTCTCCGTGGTACGGTGTCACGGTTAAATCTTCCCGAGCCACCCTTGTAGCCAAAGGATAACAATCCGCAAGGCGCGCAGGAAATTTAGCAAAATTCACCCATCCCGTAAAAATCCGTAGTGTTATCCAACAGACTTGAACATGCACACACACGCGAATTTGATTGCGCGCAAGATTGCTGAAAAAGTCGAAGTATGATATAAGCCTCTAATTACGTTTTCATGCGTTGGAAAATACTAACAATAAGAACACGACTGTCTAAGCTTACAATTTTCTAAGCTTACAATTTTGTCATCATCACTTCACTATATAATAATCGCGTAAGCCTTAACGAAATTCCCACTCTGTCGAGTTCGCCAGCCAGATCCACTGAATCAAACCGCCATGTCTACGTATCATTCGATAGCCCTTAGTGGGTAGATTTGCCATCGCAACTCAGTTTTTCAAAAAATAAAAAAGTTTGAAAGAAAACTTCAAAACACTTTACGATAGAAGGCCAATGAAAAAAGTTGAGAATCCACCACTGCAAAACTGACCACCCCACCACTGTTTCGACAGCTAAAACGCGTTTCGGTTTTGGCCAGCTTTCCTGGGACTTTCTTGAATCATGCCCACGTACGATTCCGTAGCCTTAATTCTTGAATTAAATTATAAATTTTTCATCAAAACATGGCTTCAGAAAAAGTAAGATCTGGAAAGAACTGCTCAAAACTGTTTCTTGAGAAGTTGCTATGTTCAGTGGTTTTGACCAGTTTAAAGTTGCAACGTTTCCACGGGCGGTTGCCATTGGTACTGATATGCCGTTGAAGACAAAAGCCTTACGGGCGGCTCTCTCTCTCTCTCTCTGGAAGAGAGCCAGGTGGCAGGCGGGTTAAGGAGCTAGGATCGTCACCTGTGGTCCTGCATATACAGCACATGTGCGGCGTTTGAGCATTTGAAGCATACAAGATTGACTGTTGGTTAGTGGTGCTTGTTGATGTGAAGTATTTTTATGTTAAAAGGGTGTCCTCGGAATGTTTTTGGGTTCTCGTTTTTCCATTCGGTTAGAATTATATGCTCTGAGAGCATATATCGGCAAATTGTTACAATTTGCTGATATATTAATATTATTATAAGATAGTTTGTACTTTGTATATCGGTATATTGTTAATCGGTATCTCAAACGCAGCAAGTAACACGCACGCCCACAACCGCTTACGGGTGGCAGTAAATCTGTGGTTGGGCGCGGTTGGGCGCATACTTATAACATAGTACCTAATGCTAATAGTACTGTACTGATTTTTATACTGCATAACACAGTACTGCGTTAAAGCCTTAAGTTTTATTACTGTCCGCGAATCGGTAACAGCGTTCATGTACTCCTTTTTCTCAATTAGCGTAAACTGCGTGTTATGCAATATGGCGAACGTCTTTCAAACGCGGTGGGTTGTGCGTTTTAAATGTTTTTTTCAATTAATAGGAAACACATCGGATGACTGCACACAGTTGTGTACATGTAAAATGTTTTCATGCCAAAAGAAAACTTTTAGTTTTCCAGTATAATAAGTCGTTACACAATACAGTTTAGCCAAACTGTTTTGGCGAATTACCATTTTACTATGCCTAAATTCATTTTCTACACTTTTCTACTACATACAGACAAATCTGATAAAATGCGCCGCCAGAAGTCTTTCCCAAGCACAGCCATAAAATTTTTTCGGATGGCTGCATCTAACTGATATTAATGCTTGACTTTATCACGGCATACTTTTTCATGCTCCAAATCTCCTAATTTATGCTCTGGAAATAAATATCCAACAAATCAGTAGAGATATTGAAACGGCTCATTGAATATATGATCATTAAAGAAATCGGATGACTGGATCCACCTGTTTTCATGTTTAGTTTACTTCTGCCAAAACTCCATGTTAAAACCTCATCGTAATCAATTACGATGCATTTATTCTGAATTTCGACAAATACCTCAAATTTAAACATACCTTTAAGTAAATAATACTGTACAGACATAAGTAGTGATTAATTTAATTTTAATTTAGTACCTATTTGAACTAAATTTTGTAACTGCATTTGTCTGTGTCTTTTCACCTACCAATTTGATGTGTGATATTATCGTATGAATTTTAATTAAAAGATACTATCATACTGCAATGCATGACTTTAAAATTTTTCACCCTTTATCGAACATCAAAATGGAATTTGCTTAACCATAAAAACTATTGTTGCATGCTGTCAGAAAACTCAGAGCCTAACCATCCTTCTGTTATCTGTTACATAAACTTATTAACAGGTTAACTGAAAATTTAATAATCTTGTAAAAATAAAGCATTATTTGCTACAAACTATAACAACTAACCCAACAGTTAATGTCATCACACACTCTTTTAAAAATGTTACCTATAAAAATAAATATTTCTTCATAACTACACCAGTAAACCATACTTTACAATAACAACTTAATCAATATTGAAACATTTGATTACTTACTTTAAACGGATAGTAAGACAAGTGCAAGTAATAAAATAACAAGATTTTCTAGCACAAATTGTTTATTTTATGGACTTTCTTTTTTCATACCTTTCCAACCACACTACAGTGATCAAGACACTACTCATCTTCCAAGCCCACTATTTTCGTGTTATTCATTCCGCTTTTCCTCTTACCAATAATAAAATCATATTATACGTCATTATTATATTATTATCATTTTTATACGTCATTATGATACGACATTATTATAATAAACATACCGTTAACTGAATCACCAGCAATAAATGAAAAATGCAACTACGTAACTGAATTCCAGTTTCAAACCACAACGCTTCAACTCGAAACATACACGACTCACAATTGTATCAACCATTACAACCATTGCTCACGAGTACTTAACAACAGAACAATTTTAACCAACAAACTTCCCAGCAACCACCTCACCAACTAACTTCTCACCGCACTCCGACTCCCTTTTTATACGCAAACCACACTATGCTAAAAAAACTACCAATCCCAGAGAAATGCCAAACCCTTGCATTTAAAAACTTCCAATCCAAAATCAATCCGTCAGCGAACTTCAAAAGCGGCCTCATTTATATCGAAATACCCAAGTCGAAAATTGTCCTTGACAGGACACATATGGGCAAACTATAGCTTCTACAAAAAAGACTACCCTTACAAATTCTACACAACAGAGCCCATATGGTCTCGGGTGCTAAACACCCTCTGTCGCGATGGCGACCGCCACCTTCGCCGGAAAATTTGCGACGACGAGTTGCGACTTGCAAGTTACGAGCTACAGTGCTACACTGCTACACAGCTACAGTAATTTTTTTTCTGTGGAAAATGATATCCGGGAAAGGCGGCATTGCATGTTTAGGGTTTAGGGACAGCAAGCTGGCATTTGCATGTCCCATATGAGCTTAAGTTAGTTAATTTGTATTATAACTGCAGAAGAGCTATGTACCTAACAAGTTTATATTGGGTGATTGCTTAGCGGTCGTTGCGCGCGTCATCTAGAGTGGACTGCTTCCTTCTTGAGAGCGAGAAATTTGGCAAAACTTCAAAATAATTTTCAGTTTTTTAAAGAAGGCGAAACCGCAGGCAGCGCCGAGCTGCGGCGCGAGCCGATCTCGCGGAGCAGCAAGCGAGGCGACCTGCTTTACATGTCGGCTAAACGGGCGATGAAAGAAATATTACAATATTTTAAAATGGCTAATTATTTTTTGTAAAAAGTAATTATATAATTACTTTTGGTTGCGTAGTGAATACAAAACAACAGAAAACCGATTGGAAATCGGGAAAGTTTTGACAATTTGATTGTCAAGCGGGAGTGTTTGATTCAGTCATCGCGATGGCCTAAAAATGACCAGGTAGCATAAGTTATATTTAAATTACAGAGATACTATTTTGCTGCTGGGAAAATAAAATTTCGAG